GTTTAACTGGAGGGCCAGGCTGGGGGGAGAGGGCGAATGTGAGAGGCAAGAAATACTCTAATCAGACAGTAAAGCCCAGAAGAGAAAACGTATTTGCTCACTTTAGGGATGTTTAGCAAAGAGAGCTGGAGGGTTCTGTCCTAATTATGCTTCTATTACTGCTCTTTGGAGATTGCTCCTACAGAGGTGCAGTGCTGTAGAGGAAAATCTCTATCTTAGGACTTGCTCCTAAGACAAGTTGTGATTTGCCAGCTAATTCAGGAAAAAAAAATAACTAAAAATTAATTAAAATCAGACCATGTCTAAGCCAGGATTAAACCCTTGTGAAACATATCAAGAACGTATACAGAAAAAATATTATGATCACAGCAATAAATTTGAATTTTTTTTTGGAGTAGATGCACTGTTTACAGCCCTAGGGAGAGCACTGCAGTTTTTCTTTCAGTAGCTAATTCTCAGTTCGCGCACAGAAACTGCAGCTTCCTCACCTGGAGTAGTGTAAGTACTGGATCTTTTTATAAGTCCTCTTCTGCATGCGCTCAGGTGGTCTCGGAACAGTTTCACAATCAGTTCAAATGCTTTGGAACCTGCTTGGAGATGAGTTGGATTACATTCCAGCCTTTGCTGTCCCCTTCACAGCAAGGAACCATGTCTGAAGCATAAGCCGGTGTTAACAGGGAGGAGGGTGAGGCGTTAGTCCCTGCAAGTCAGAGACAGGGAGATGGAAGAATAAGACCTAAAAGGCTGAAATACCAGAAAGAATAAGAGCACAGAAGTCAGCATCTCTATATTCAATTACTATTTTTTTTTTTTTACATTTTTAGTAAAGAAAATTTTTTTATGTTTCTCTTTTTTCTTTGCCTCAGGTCTTCCTTAGAGTTTAGGACCAACAGTTGGCTGATGTGGGTTGGTGTTATTTGTTCGCTCTGATGCAATTTACAGGTCAAGTAACAAACAGTAGAGCTTTCTTCCATCGCTTTGGAAGCTGATAACCTTGTGAAAATGCATAAAATTCTGGTGTCAGATTCTTCTCAAGGTAACTTTTCCTTAATTCTATACTTTCACTTTTAATTGAGAAGTTCCTTGAAAATATTTTTACTCAAAAAAAATCCACTGTTAGGATGATCAGCCTGTAGGTGCTGGTCAACAGCCCACAGCCTCAGCCTTGTGTTCCAGAAATCCAGGCACAGCCTTGAGAAGCTCTAGAATAAAAAGCAGTACTAGAGTTAGAAATGTGGAAGGAAATGCAAGAAGCCATGTGTGGAAATCAAGTTTTTAGTCTCTCTCTTTTTTTTTTTTTCCCATTCCTATTGCCTACATTGCAGGGCTTCTTGGTAAAAAAAAACTTTAGCAAATTTCTTTCTTCAACTCTGCTCTTCTTTCAAAATAAGAAAGACATTTGGCTTGTACAGAATAAGATTTGGCTTGTACAGAATATGTAAACTTAAGAGATGTGCATTATTTTTTTCCATAGTTTTATGGAAGAATATCACATCTTAATTGTTGGGTAAGCGACCATGAGGCAGCAGTGTGCCCTGGTGGCCAAGAAGGCCAATGGGATCCTGGGGTGCATTAAGAAGAGTGTCTCCAGCAGGTCGAGAGAGGTGATCATCCCCCTCATACTCAGCCCTGGTGAGGCCACATCTGGAGACTGTGTCCAGTTCTGGGCTCCCCAGTACAAGAGGGATGTGGAGCTGCTGGAGAGAGTCCAGCACAGGGCTGCGAGGATGATCAGGGGCCTGGAACATCTGCCCTGTGAGCAAAGGCTGAGAGAGCTGGGTCTGTTCAGCCTGGAGAAGAGGAGGCTGAGGAGGGACCTCATCAGCGTGTATAAATACCTCAAGGGAGGCAGTGGGGAGGAGGGGGCGGCCTCTTTTCAGTGGTGGCAACTGACAGGACTAGAGGAAACGGCCACAAGTTGAGGCACCAAAAGTTCTGCAGGAACTTAAGGAAAAAATTCTTACCAATTAGGGTGCCAGAGCCCTGGCACAGGCTGCCCAGAGAGGTTGTGGAGTCTCCTTCTCTGGAGATCTCCCAAACCTGCCTGGATGCAGCCTGTGCCCCATGCTCTAGGTGACCCTGTGTGTGCAGGACCGAATGATCTCTAAAGATCCCTTCCAACCTTAAGGATTCTGTGATCCTATGACCTTGCATATACCCCTAAATGGAATGGGACTGAGAAAATTAAATACTGAAGTTTCCTCTCACTGAGTTGTTTTTGCTCACCCTTTTTTCACATCAGTACGTTAGAAATGATTGGTATTGAATCCCTCTCAGGAAAGATAACTAGACTCTCCGCGGCCCGGCCAGTATAACAGTGGGAGGGAGACTGGAAGAGTGGCAGCACAGATCATTCAAAATGATGCTAAAATTCTGTTGCATGCTTCAAATCTGAGCATTCCTATGAGTTTTACTGAGTATAAGTGGAAATAAGGATGCCAGTGTTTTGCTGAAGCAAAATCTCAATGAGGAAGTGGCAAGTTGTGTGCATGTGACTGGTGATAGCAAATGGTCTTCATGCACTTTCTGAAGGAAATGGAGAAACTGTCTGTCTGAAAAAAGAAAAAAAGTCTCTTAGAGCAGGCTGGTATCCTGCACAGACCTATTTTGCTGTGGCTAGAAGTTCAAGAAGTCTCAGCATGTGCAGTTGCAAAATAATTTGGGTAATTTGCTTCCTGCTTACTGCTAGTCAGAAACTACCTAAATGGTAAAGTTCAAGACTTCATACTTTATTTTTCAAAAATGCGTAATGGAGGGGGCATTTTTGTGTCTCAGAGCAGTTTGACAGGATTCACAGGCTCCTCTTAGGACTGAGCACAGATCAGCAAGGCTCAGCATTGTGTCCTTAGGTCTTTTTCTTCTGCTAAATTCAGTTTTAATCCAAGATCAGTCTGTGGCAAGCTCAAGCCTATTCCCATTAAGGCTGCTCACACCTGTTTTGATGACACTTGTTAATGTCTCAGTATAGAAAGGCAGGGTAATGCTGCAGGTTTACAAGTTGCAGACAGGACCATGACTTGAAAAATTAGCTTTGGATTCTAATGCCCTTGTGCTTCTAATGCCTGGTGTTTCTTCACAGAAGAGGTAGATGAGCACTTTTAGCATGCTGCAGCACCTCACACATGTGAAATTATTGTTATGTACCAGGCAGGACTAAGGTGCAAGCCAGTAAAATACTTCAGGTGCCAATAAAATATTAAAAAATAAAATAAAATTAAAAAGGTGGTTTGGTATAAGTCATGTAGCTGCACTATTTATTTTGTGAACTGGAGAGGAAGATACCAAGTTGGTATCACTTCTGATTTGACTTTTCAGAGAAATCTTGTAATCTTTGCTGTGAGGAATTTTGCAAACACAACTTTGTTATCTCTCTCCTTTAACATTTGTGTGTTTATATGAGTATCGCCTAGGTGTTCTTCTGTCTTTAGTCCTCTTCTTGTCCCCTGGCTGTAAGACTGCTGGGAATCTCAACAAGGTCTGGTGCCACCTCTCACTTCTGCGAAGCGAAAGTAGCCACACATTCACCCCCAGAAATGGTTCCACACACCTCAAAGGCTCACTGTGCTCCACACTGTGGCTTTCTAGGTCTTCCTGTTACAGCACTAAATAACAACACCATTTCCTGCCCCGGGGCTTGTCCTGGTATCTCCACTGCAGCTCTTGTCACAACCCTTTGATGCCTTTGAACCGACCTGAGCCCGAGGTTGAAGTTTGCTTAGCAAATGTTGCTGGTGTGGGTGAGAAATGGTAGCTGAGGCCAGTTGGTGGCCCTCTGCAGCCCGCATGCTGGGCACGCTGTAGAGGGATCAGCATTCCCTGGATCTGAATGGCCCTGCTTGGGAGACTCCTCTGGCTCCAGCAAATCACCTGGAGCAAGCAACACCCATCCCAGGTGTGAGGCTGGTGTTCTTAAAACACAGAACCTCCTCTCATTCCCAGTGTGTTTTAAGACATAACCATTTCTTTTTATCTGTTCTGGCTGTGGCCATCAACTGGATGCTGTGAGGTTCAGCCTGCGCCTGCGTCCTTGTCTTTCAACTCTCAAGTGCTGGCTCGTGCTGCCGAGAGGATTGAAAGGGGGACGAGGCTTTGCTCTAGTGTTTCATCCTTCTAGTCCCTGTAAACGTCTCATGCAGCCATCAACGGCGGGTCCAGCTCTGCTGTGATGGGGAGCAGCTGTAGAGCTCTAACTAACAGACCATGAGGGACCAAGATACTAAAAGGGAAAAAATGCCTGAATTCATGCATTCCCAACAACTACTGGCTTCTCCCTTGCTTTTTTTTTTTTTTTTTAATTAAAAAACTGATTTATATTAACAGTCTTTTTAGTCCCCTCTCAAATCAGTGCAGTCGAAGTGTGTGTTACAGCCTGTTTAATATTTTTAACGCCAATCTCCGTTCACAGCAATGCCTCTGACACCCTCAAACCACCATCTGCCTCCCCCTGGGGTGGGTGTTCCGATGGAGAAAACGCCTCCCTCCTTTCAGCTACAACCAGGGGCCCAAATGTCATAAACTCCAGTCCGGACCTAGGCAGCTCGCGCCCCGAGGACGCGACGCGAGGCTCTCAGGCGGCCGCGGCGCCATTTCGCGCCTCCCTCCTCACGGCCGGCGCGGCGCTGTGAGCGGCTCTCCCTGCGCCGCTAAGCGCCCGGCGAGAGGGGGACATCCCGGTACCGCCTCGGCTCTCGGGACCGGGCAGGCGCGGGGTCCGCGCCGGCCCCACACGGCCACGGCGCCGCGCCGCCCGCCCCGCCGCCATGTCGCGCT